CCTTTCCTAACCCTCCCTCCACAATCTCAGAGTCGGCTTCACACAGAACATGCCAGTATGTCGCTCCTCATAAATCCTTCAAAGTTTTTCAACTTGGCGCAAGGCTCAGTGATTTAATTAGGGTGGTTGCTGGAATTCTGACACACACACACACAGGTCTTTCTTTCCTTCTTTCCCTTCCTCCCTCTCCTATCCTTCCTAATTTCCTCCCTCCCTTGCTGGGGAATTGTGAGATTTGAAGTCCACAAGTCTTAAAAGTTGCCAAAGTTGGACCCCCTGCTATAAACTATTCCAGGGGGGCTCAACAGCCCAGAAAAATCTCAGCTCAAGCTAGGCAAAGGAGAAGGACCTTCCTTAAACTGCTCCCTCCCTCCCACCAGATACCACAACCTGCTGACTTGGGCTCTGGCGTTTTGCCAGGCTGTCAAAGGGCTTTGGCCAAACTGGAGGGTCAGCCAGGAAGTTGCATTTCTATCAGAAATGAAAGCCAGCAAAACAATATTTTTAATTAAGGTAAATCCTACGCTGAACGGCTAAGGGGACTAGGTGCGTTTAGCCTAAGGAAGAGAAGGACCAGGGGAGACCCTGATAGCGTCTTCTGATACTTGAGGGGCTCTCACAGAAAACAGGGGGTCCACCTATTCTCCAAGGCACCAGAAGGGAAGACAAGAAGCAACGGATGGAAACCAATCTAGGGGAGAACCAACCTGGAACTAAAGAGGAATTTATTAACGGTGAGAACAATTAACCCGTGCAAGGGCTCGCCCCCAGAAGTTGTAAGCGCTCCGTCACTGGGGTCTTTTAAGAAGAGATTGGGCAAGTATTTGACCTGGTTACTATAGGGTTTCCTGCCTGAGCAGGGGGTTGGACTAGAAGGCCTCTAAGGCCCCTTCCAATTCTGTTATTCTGTATTCTATACTCACATGTACGGTAAAGGAGAGAAGCAACCATACAGAGAAATTTCCTGATCGTGAGAACAATTAACCACCGGAACAGCCTGCCACCCAGAAGTTGGCGATGCTCCATCACTGGAGGTTTTTTTAGAAGAGACTGGACAGCCATCTGACTGGAGTGGTATCAGGATTCCTGCCTTCGGCAGGGGTTGGTCTAGAAGACCTCCAAGGTCCCTTCCAGCCCCAGGATTCTATGACAATTACGGTGAGTTTGTTCAGGAGAGTCCAAGATAAAGAAAGACAGCCTGAGATTTTTCATGTACCCCTAGTGTCAGCCTCAAGATATCTTCTATAATATATATATTCTGCATCCTAACTATTGCATCTTCTCTGCTGCTATGCCAATCTATTTCTTTCGGCTGTCATTAGCAACGGAGGGAGGGGGGAACTTGGAGGGGAAGAAAGCTGGAGGTGTTTTGCATTCCTTTTGCTGTGGGTAGCAAGGGGAGGGGGATTCCTGTCTTTAACTTTCCATTTCTTGGCTAGCTTCTATCCCTTTTGCGCAACTGCGAACTTTTATCAAAATATGTCAAGGTCAACGGACAGAAGCCTCATCACCACCTGGAGATGGCCACATGATCGTATTCAGAACTTTTAATTGGAAGAGTCATTTGGACTTTGGGGAGTGGGAGCATTTCCATTCCTTTGTATATGTGATCTGCGCGCCAATTTCTCAGATTCGGAATTAAATCTGTAGCTTCCACTTTGATTTCCAGTAAAAGGATAACCTTGCTCTAACCCATGGAGTCTGAGTATTTCTTTCTTGGATTTTGAAGGGAGCGCACACTGACACCTAGCCTGCATTTGAGGAAGCTACTCATCCACCAGCTGAGTTTCCATCTGCCAAGCAAAATTTGGCTTTAGTTTATTTATATTTATTGATTACATTTACAGGCCACTCATCACACGGCTAAAATCCAACACTTGGTTGTCCATGGAGCGAGCTCGGGGAAGTGAGAAGGTCCTGCACTTAAGCCACGCAATTGCCTGAACACAGACCAGTCCTCTTCACAAACCATAAAACGATTTTTATTCCGAGAGACTTAGTCCAGGAACCTTGCCCTACTGGAGTTCTGGATGGATGCTTCCAGCCACCTTCTTAAGATGGTCTCTTGGATAAACGAGGCACCTGGAATGGCAGGTGGGACGTGGTTTGGGTTTCTATCAAGCCAAGGACGCCCAAGAGGGTCAACGAG